CACTCCAATGTAGCTGGCTTTTTGAGCCCCTGGCTGTCTCCTGGAGTACCTAATGTACAGCCTTTGCCTCTGAGCAGTTCTGAGTCATATGAGCTCCCTGCCTGATTACCAAGTTTCCCCAAAGGCAGAGCCACAGAGACACAGGACAGGCTGTATTTTGAAATGTAGTGATGGGGCAGATAGAATTTATTACTAGGGGACTTGGTTTATTAAGATCTCCATCTCTGGAGCTGGAGAGATGGTCCAGAGGTTAAGAGCACTGGTTGTTTTTCCAGAGGACCTGGGTTCAGTTACCAGCACCCACATGGCAACTAACAACCACCCAAAACTCCACTTACAGGGGATCTGACACTCTCTTCTGGTCTCTTCAGGCATTGCATGATATGGGTGTACTTACATACATGAAGGCAAAAAACACTCATACATATAAAATCAATAACATTTTTTTAAAAATGATCTCTGTTCCCCAGGATTCCTGAGCTTAGAGTAATCCCTAAAGTTCCAAGGATAGAGTGGCCTTCTCTTTCCAACAGGCAAAAACAACCATTTTCCCAAGCTTGCCAAGGTGCCTCTACTCCCTGCTCATCCTGAGTAGGGTGAGAGAAGTCAAAGTCTTTTGGATTCTGACTTTGAAGAGACTCTGCTGATGGTTGGGGATCTGGCATCGTCATCCTGGCAGAAGCAAGGACTCAGTGGATGCTGCTGGACTTTATCTGAGGGACTTTAACTGTTTTGCCCTGTGGTTTAACAACTGCCTTCTTCTTAGATCACATATGACAACTGTGCTACTCCCTGAGCCTGGGGCAAGTGTCTGTCCTATCATCTTGTATTACACACTCCAAAAAGATTGCCCAGCTCATGCTAATCCAGGAGCGATGGACAATTTGGGGACATTACCTCCTTCCGGAGATGGAGAGAAGCAATAGATCCTTCCCAGGACTGGAAGCTGGGGAGCAGACCAGAATCTGGGTGCTTCCCACGTCTCTTGCTTCCTCCCTTAACATGTCTTTGAAGGGTTTGATGGTTAATCTTGATTTTCAATTTGAAAGGATTGAGAATCACCATGGAAACTAACTGAGTATATCTGGGGACTGGGGGGTATCTAGATTAGGTTAATTGAGGTAAAACCATTCTATGGACTGGGGTCCTGGACTAAATAAAAGGAAGGGAGCTGAGCAGTAGCACCATGGCTCTCTGCTTCCTGACTACAAATACAATGTGACCAAGTGTCTACTCAAGCTCCTGTTGCCATGACTTCCCCATGATGGACTATGAGTCAAAATAGACTCTTCCTTCCAAGTTCTTTCTTGTCAGGTGTTCAGTTGCATTAATGAGAAAAGTCACTAACACAGGAGGAAAGTGTTAGAACCACATGATCACTGCATGAGCAGCCCCACTGGGATGTTCATGATAGGAAAATGGGGAGCCAATGGGCATGCTGGGAAACAGCATACACCAGACAACCTGGGCTTGGCACAGATCATTCATCCTCAGTGAGGAAACCAACCAAACAGCAGGAGACTCCAGTTAGACCATTCCTCACTAATTTTTGGCTCTCCCTTCTATGATTGTTTTTAAAAATATTTTATTGTTTTTATTTTATGTGTTCGAGGGTCTTGCCTGCATGTATGCAAGTGCACCTATGCCGTGCAATGCCCTTGAAGATTAGAAGAGGGTGTCAGATCTCCCAGAACTGGAGTTATGGATGGTAGTTAGTCACCATGTGGGTTCTGGGAATCAAACCCTGGTCCTTTGCTAGAGCAGCCAGTGCTCTTAACTGCTGAGCCATCTCTCCAGCCCCCTTCTACAATTACTGATTTTTTTATTATATATTTTATGTGTTTAAATGTATTGCCTTCATGTGTGCAAGTGCACCCGTGTCATGTAATGCCCTCAGAGGTCAGAAGAGGGCATTGGATCCCCTGAAACTGGAGTTACAGATGGTCGTTAGCTGCCATGTGGGTACTGGGGATCAAACCCAGGTCCTCTGCAAGAGCAGCCAGTGCTCTTAACTGCTGAGCCATCTCTCCAGCCTCCCCATCCTCACATAAACTCCTGGAAGAGCAGGTAACACTTCATTTCTGTGGTTATTGAAGCGAACAGACCTCCAAAGTAGGGTGCTTTGTCACTTTCAGGCTGTCCCTTTGGTCTGTACTCAAATTAGAAAGAAAATCCTGCTGATCATCTTTGTAACATAGGGACATCTAGGACCTCAGGTGGGAACACAGATTTGTCAGTTAATTATTAAGACGCCAGTCACAGGCGGTAAGGCAGTGGGGAGTTCTTCCTGGTGTCTAAGCAGCTTGCAGGTGACCCTATAATTCCATGTTTGGCCTGCAGGGGGCAGCATCTCTCTAGCGATGGCTCCACCACCTACTTAGGCGTTAACAGCAGAAAATACATTTAATGGCCAATGATTAATAAAGTTGTGTTTTTTAAAACTGACATGTAATATTAATGCTATAGGTCAAGTCAATATACTTCCAGTAAGTAATTCCCTACATATTTGGATGCTTTTTAAAAATTTTATTTATATGTATGCATGTATCGCCTAAATGTAAGTAAGTGCACTCATGTTGTGCATTGCCCACGGAGGTCAGAAGACGGTGTCAGATTCCCTGGGACTGGAGTTATGGACAGTTGTTAGCTGCCAGATGGGTGCTGGGATTCGAACCCGGGTCTTCTGAAAGAACACCCAGTGTTCTTAACTGCTGAGCCATCTCTCCAGCCTAGGATGCTGTTCTTTTTCTAGGTACTGTGCTAGGTACACAGTAAGAGTACACAAATAAACACGTAGGGATTGATCATTTGGTTGACCCCAGACTTGCCTGAGGCATGGAAACTACAGGGCAAGAATAGGAGGCAATGAACTAGGGAACTGGTGGATATGCACGGAAAAGCGCCACTAAGATTTGAAAGTCTGTCCCCTCCCAAACTCATGTTAAAATTTAATTGTCATTACAACAGTATAAAAAATGAGCTCTAAACTGAGCATGGTGGTACACACCTTTAATCCCAGCACTCAGGAGGGCAAATCTCTGTGAGATCGAGGCCAGCCTGATCTACATGGTAAATTCTAGGTCAGCTGAGGCTACAGGGAGACCCTATCAAGAGAGGGGTGGGGGGCTAGCTTTCTGAGATTTAAGTGGGCTCTGCCCTGGTGACTCGACTAACATCACTGCAGGAGTGGGTTATCATGGCAATGGGCTTTTTGTTGTTGACTTTGTTTTGTTTTAAGACAGGGTCTCAATTTGTGGCCCAGGCTCAAACTCAGGCTGGTCCTCCTTCCGCAGCCTCCCAATGCTAAGATTACAGGCATGAGCCACCAGTCTGTCAGCTTCTGTTCTTCATAAATTACCTCTCTAGGCTGGGAATATAGCTCCACTGGTAGAGTGAGTACTTGTTTAGTATGCTTGAAGCCCAGCACTCAGGTGGTAGAAGTAGGAGGATCAGGAAGTTAAAGGTCATACTCAGTAATACAGTATGTTTCAGGCCAGCTTGGGCTATATAAAATCATCTCAAAAATAACAAAACAAAAGCCGGACGTGGTAGCACATGCCTTTAATCCGAGCACGGAGGGGGAGGGGAGCAGAGGCAGGCAGACCTCTGTGAGTTCAAGGCCAGTCTGGTCTATATAGTGAGTTCCATGCCAGCTGGGGCTACAGAGAGACCCTGTCTCAAAAAGACAAATAAATAAATAAATAAATAAATAAATAAAT